ATTGAACTGACAGATAAACCAGAATGGAACTTAAGGGTAAGAAATTCTAAAGCCAGTGGAACGGTATCGGATCCTTGTGTGTTAGACAGAAAAGAAACCTCCCATTCTTTGAATTCCTCGATCATCTTTCTATATCTTACCCTAGTTCTGCGTCTTAAAGATGAGTTAATAATATCCAAGACCTGATTCGATAAAAGAGGATGTGTTAACAGCCTACCAGGGCTGCGATCCACATCAGCTGCGGGATCTTGAGCAGGAGATCGCTGGTTTCCTGAAAGCAGTCCACTGTCATGCCCAATGGGATCTTGGTTCCCCCTGACTAACTGATGGATCAAGGGATACCAGGGTCTGGAGGTCCATACTGGATAAACGAGAACTAAGCTCTGCACCCTGTCCCTGCGGTTCTTCTCCAGCACTTTCATCAGTAAAGATGGAGGGGGGAAAACATAAGGGGCTGGAACATCCGTCCATTGGAAAGACATTGCATCTATTTTCCAAGCTCCCTTTGTCCAGGTCCGGGAGACGAACCTGGGAGTTTGTGCAGATGTTTGGGATGCAAACAGATCTACCTGTCTCTGGCCAAAATTGCTTTCTATCCATTGGAAAAGAGCAATCTTTAATTGAATCGTTGCCAGGGACAAACTTTGGCGAGAGAGAGATTGCAAGCTCGTTCGCCTCTCCCGGAACATATTCTGCAAAAACCTGAACATTGCTTGCTAAGGCCCAGGACCAAAGATCTAGAGCCTCTAAACAAAGACCCCTTGATCTTGTGCCCCCTCTGTGGTTTATATAAGCCACCGCTGTCCTGTTGTCCGATTGGACTTTTACCAACGTCGGTGACTGGTTTCGAGGAATTAGACCCTGGAGAGCTAATTTTATAGCTCGTAACTCCAAGATGTTTATATGGAGGAGACTCTCTTGGTCTGACCAAATTCCTCTTAAGGCATTCTGGGCTGTAAACGCACCCCAACCGTGACTTGAGGCATCTGACGTCAGAGTGACTGACACAGGCTGCTCTAACAGGGGACGGGGAAGTGGAATTTCTAACTCCAGAATGGACTTCAATTATTCTCTGACCTTCTTGGGGAGAACACATTTTGATTCCCAAAGGCCGCCCTGTCTTAGTCGGTTGCCTAAAAACAGCTGACTTCTTCTGCAAAGTAAGGGGGGATTGTTGTATGCTGGTGTTAAAGCTATTAATTTTCCGATAATCTTTGCTAGGTCTCTCAAGGACCAACTCTGGTGCCTGAGAGATGAGTTCAGATGTACCAGTAATTTGTCCCATTTGTCTTGAGGGGTTCCTAGAGACATAGTCCTGGTGTTCAGTATGAAACCCAGAAAGAGGATGCTTTGAGTGGGAATTAGGACTGATTTCTGTAAATTTACTACAAATCCTATGTATTGTAAAAGGGAAGCAAGGTAATCCCTCTGAGAAGCAAGTCCCCATCTGGGTGCATGAGCAGGATGTTGTCTAGATAGTATAGACACATGAAACCTTATAGTCTGACATGAGCTATCACTGATTTCATAATTCTGGAGAATGTGTATGGTGTGTTGGATAGGCCAAACACCATAACGGTCCACTGCCACACTTTCCCTTTCCACTGAAACCTGAGAAAACGCCTGTGTTTCTTGGCTATGGGGACTGAATGGAAGGCATCTTTTAGGTCTAACTTTATGCAGAAAAAAGCTTTCTGTACTAAGCCTGGAAGATCTGATAAACCCTCCATCCTGAACCTTTTCCTTTTGATGAAAGCATTCAGAGACCTCACGTTTAGGACCGGTCTCCAGGAACCATCTGATTTGGGGATTGGGAACAATGGGCTGACCCATCCTGTAATAGACATGTCTGACAACTCTATTTTCCCTTGACTTAAAGCTAAGGAAAGGGAGGCATCTAGCACTGGGTTCACCTCTCTGTGGGGTGCAAATTTCTGGACTGGAAACCTTAAAAGGGGGAGTTGTAAACCCCTTTGAAAAATCTTTAGAACCCATTTGTCTGAGGAAATATCCTTCCAATTTAGTGGCATATGAGGAGGCACACTTACTTGAATGCATGGGTTTTCTTTTGGAAGCGGAACCGCCTCTGGAATGCGCTCCTCTGCCACTGCCTGGGAGCTTGTGTCTTCCACTGTAGTGGCGGTACTGGGCCTGGTGAGAGGCTTCTCGGGACACTCCTGCAGCCCTATAGGGTCACCCCTCTGTCCGAAAGGGCTTTTTGTAGCAAGGGACGGACTTCTTGAGTTCTGAAAAGGATCTCCTTGCCTTGTAACAGCCTTTAACCTCCTGAATGAACGAGGGACCGAATAGGTAAGAATCCTCCAAATTTGGGAACTCATGCGATTTGGGGGCTAGGTCGGACAGACCTGCTGCATGGAGCCAGCGGGATGTGCAGATGTTAGATATGTAATTAAAGGATTGGCCAATAATTAGCACTGCCCTGCCAGACGCTTTTAAAAGGGCCATCTTAGATGCCAACAGAGATGGAGCGGAAGGTTTCTGAGCATTGCCTTCTTTTTCTGCCTTATCCAGCATCAGTAATAGTGGGCCCACAGCATCAGCAATTTTAAACTGTATATTGCGAAAAGTCTGGTCTGTGGGATCAGAGGATACACTGCTCCCTGTGATGGATAACAGAGCAGGATCTACCTCTGGGGCAATTAAAGTCTGAATGTCCGGGATACCGATGTGGTTCCTGAGGAGAAGGTCATCCTCCTTAACCAAGGGGGATCTGAAGGCTAGTTTTGCAAAATCTCTAACCTCAGAATTGTGCTCCATAGCCCATCTGGGGTGAAATTATTTTGATGGGAGAGTCTTTCCTAGGAGACTTACTCTGGCCATCTGAACATTGCTTAGCTTCCCTCGCTCAGTGGAAGCTGCTGAACGAACCACTTCCTCGGATTCCCAGTCTATTTCTGGAGAGCCGTATCTGGAACTTGGACGGCTTTGGGAGGAAGAGTGAGCGAACGCTCTAGAAGAGGAAGGAGAGGGACTATCTAACCTCCAACAAGATTTGTCCTTTTTCTCTGGAAGGTGTTTCTGGTGCTCAAATGATGGAAACACGCTATTCCTTTTTTGGGGTCCTGTCCCCTTAAATTTACGCTTACTTAAACGAGTATGAGGGGAAGGAGGAGCAGAGAAGTTTTCCTCAGACGAGGAACTGGCGGAAGAGACCAGCCGCCTTCCTTTATTCTTTTTACTTAAAACTGGGACCAAATCCTCCTCAGAAGATGAAGAGGATAGATCCCTGGCAAGGAAAGCTCTCTTATGGAGCTTTCTGACATTGATGGGGCTGCCTTTAAGAGAGGCATCCACTAAATCTGTGGTAGACACAGAAATAGAGTCCTCCATCAATGATGCCATTTTTAAAAATCTGAGGTAATCAGGATTCCAGCGCTCAGCACGGCTCTCCTGATCACCTGATAGGCTGAAATGCTGTTGCTGTGCAGATGCTCTGGCATTAGCTTTGCTAGGTGGTTATGTCTCCCGGAGGACAAATATGTATATGCACAGGCACATAGATACTTTTACACAGTATCTATGTTTTTTTTTTTACTTCTTGGGGGTCTGGCAGTGCCCACAAGTCTCCACTAGGTGTCATATTCCCTATTAATTTCCTGTTATAATAGTTATATTTACATCAAGGAATGCGTTGGCCGTACCCTGTGCATTTTCGGAATGGTTGCAACAAAATATGTCTCCACCTGTCTATGCCATCTCGCAATATCTCAGTTCCGCATAGGGGGCCTGAAAGACAAGCATGGTATAGCCTTAGGAATTGAGCAAACCAGATTAATAATAGCAGACAAATAATCACAAGGGTTTTTTTGATGTTGTTTTTTTTTACATTTAGCACTATTAGTAATTTTGTTAATCAAATACCGAGCTAGTAGTTTTCAAAGCCGCATTAATAAATTCACAAACTAGAAATTATTTTGTGCAAGTGATATTTACCATTTTTGTTTTAATTTACTATTTTTTACAGTACCGCAGCTTGACATTTAAGGCGCAAATAAGAAAAATTTTATGAAATGTGAATATTTTTTTTTTTCAATTCTGGCTGGTTAAATCATATTCTTAAAGTGATCTTTTTAACACCACTGGTTTTCAAGTGATATTTACATTCACGTGCATTTTTGTTCGCTATTTATCACGACAGCAACATAATTATTTTTGTTTCTTGACAGTTAAGGGCCAAATAGGACAGAAAAAAAACACAGTACATTACTGCAACTTTTTTTTAACTCAAATTTTTTTTAAATTATTGTATAGTACATACCCCACCCCCATGGCCCCCAATTTGGTGCAAATGCACTATGCGTAGTTGTGTTAGTTATCAAGTGATTACGTCTGTTTAACGAAAGTATTATGTTTATCGTAAAGAACCCTATTATATTGCAGCATATTACCAAACTTAGACACCTTGGTCTGAGTCTACCCTCAGGAAGTTTTGTGGCTTTAACTTACTGTAACATATATGTCTTCTGTAAAATACTTTCTAGTCTGTAGGCTGGAGTTGGTTTCAGTTAAATGAACTATACAGGACTAACGCAGTATCTGCAAAATTTTATGGTGTTTTTTTCTTGTTTACATACATTGGAAATTTCCTAGCTGTAGATCTTGTTTTTATTCTGGGAAGTAAAGACAGATTCATAAAAAAATATTTTTTTCATATATATAATAAACTGAACAAAACTGACAGCATTTTTGACAATAATTCTTGTTAGGGTGTTCAAACTAAATTTTTTAAATTTATTTATTTGAATCACGAAGGATATTTAGTTTAAAACAAGCTCAAATCAGCTAAACTATATTTAAATAATTATTAAATGATATAAAACATTTTCACATTAAAAACATTTTCACATTAAAATATAAATAAATAAATCTGCAATGCATTCAAACGCCTAGCTGGGCAACATGTTCAGAACATCAGACATTTGTTGACAAGCCCACTGTTACGAGGCAACAGCCTAGGTCTTCTATTTTAATATATTACTTAAAGGGACACTCCCAGCACCATAACCACTACAGAACGCTGTAGTGGTAATGGTGGCGGAAGTGCACGCTCCAAGAAACCTTTTTTTTTTTTTTAAGATTCAGTTTAAAAATTCACATCACAGGTGTGCATACAAGGGCTGAGAGCAGAGATCATCCAAAATTCTTATCATGTATATTGACTGCGGTGAAGCTTACTTATATGCAGTCATTTAAATCTACAGCTAAATTAAACAAAAAATAAATTAAAAATAGGTCCTAAAGTGCTGCTCTGCAAGTTGTATGCAGGTACAGACAGAGTCCTTTAAAAAAAAAAATAACCATGGAAACATTTTCTACAACTTTCAGCCCAAGATTACAATTTGGTTGCAAAGTCCCCATGTCTCACTGTTTAGTTAATAGACCCCATTTCCTAAACTATGTCACTGATTATTTCCTCCCGCCCTACATCCCTTCCTTCCTCCCTCCCTCCCAGCTATTAATTTAAAGGGACACTATAGTCACCCAAACAACTTTAGCTTAATGAAGCAGTTTTGGTGTATAGAACATGCCCCTGCAGCCTCATTGCTCAATCCTCTGCCATTTAGGAGTTAAATCTCTCTGTTTATGAACCCTAGTCACACCTCCCTGCATGTGACTTGCACAGCCTTCCATAAACACTTCCTGTAAAGAGAGCCCTATTTAGGCTTTCTTTATTGCAAGTTCTGTTTAATTAAGATTTTCTTATCCCCTGCTATGCTAATAGCTTGCTAGACCCTGCAAGAGCCTCCTGTATGTGATTAAAGTTCAATTTAGAGATTGAGATACAATTATTTAAGGTAAATTACATCTGTTTGAAAGTGAAACCAGTTTTTTTTTCATGCAGGCTCTGTCAATCATAGCCAGGGGAGGTGTGGCTAGGGCTGCATAAACAGAAACAAAGTGATTTAACTCCTAAATGACAGTGAATTGAGCAGTGAAATTGCAGGGGAATAATCTATACACTAAAACTGCTTTATTTAGCTAAAGTAATTTAGGTGACTATAGTGTTCCTTTAAACTGGGTTAAAAAGTAGAGTATATACAAAGACACGTCTGTATCATAATAGGATTGCAATTTTGCATTTAGTGATAAAAAAATTACTAAATGCAAAACTCTACTTTTTAACCCAGTTTAAATTGTATCTGAAGATTGTGTTTTAAGTTTGTACCATTATCTTTATTATATTTAATCTATACCAAATCTAATTTCTTGCTCCTGGATATTCACACTTTAGGGTGTTCTTAGTTCATTTTAACTCTCTTGGTGGAATCTTATTTTTCCAGTTAGAGCATATTTACTATATTGTCCTTATTCCTTCTCACACAATCTGTCGCTTCCTTTTGGCAGCCTCAGAACTTTCTGTTCATTCTTGTTTTCTAGTGTTTGTGTCCGTAAATAAGTTGGAAAATACAAGCTATAAAGAAAGGTCTATAAACTAAAATCTGAATTGGAGCAAATTTAAGTTTGAGGAGCAAAATGTAATCTAAGATTATCTGGAAAACTCTCCCGTTATGCTATCTTCATAGCTTGGATATTTTTGCTTAAATGATGCCCTTCTGATTTCAAATTGTTCTAATTCAGACTGGAAAAATTGAAACAAAATCAGTTTTAAGCTTCAATTAACAGTCTCTCTATAATGTACCAGTAATTATTAGTATGTTGCTGCTACAATATGTAACAGAATGTTCTAGAAATAAAGGAGATGGTTATGCAGTCTAATCTTTACGTTTGTATATTACATGCGTTTTTAAAGAAGACTATAAGAGACACTCTCGTGCTACTTACCAGAAACTATAAGGGAATGTCCTTTATTCAAACATTTACAATGACATTTTACAAGGGAATGTCCAACTATCAACAATTTATAGCTATGTGTTCAAAATTGCCAGGCAAGAAATCTTTCACGGACCCTCTCAAGCAACCAACATATCATTTAGGCATTGAAGAACGCAAGAACAAATATTTTTTGGGACTATAGGTTCCCTTCTGACCACCCCACTCTTCTTTTAAAAATTGAAAGTTAAAGAATAATTGCTCACTTAGTGTCTCCTCGGTAGCAGCTGCCGACTCCGCCTTTGAAAACGTCAGCAGGTCTTCTGATGCCCTCCATGACCTGCTCCAATCCAATGCTTCTCATAGAGAAAGAATGGATTGGAAATAGACATCCGCGGCCAAAGCTATTAAGCGTCAATGCTATAAGATACATACACCTTTATTGGGTGTACAGCTTTCTGCACCAAGTTATTTTTCACATTTATGTGCCAGCAACGCATCCCATGTTTCAAATTAATAATATACTAATGACTAAATGACAAAATTTGTTGAATCATTTTTAATGACTAAATGTATTGCTCTGTGTACTGTAACAAGTAACAACGCACGATTAAAATAACCCAAAATTGTAAAAATAAACTACCAGTAAAACATGTTGTATAGTATAAAACACTTGCATCATGCAGCCATTCTTTCTGTTCTTTTTTTTTTCTTCCTTTTTTTTGTTCTCTATACTATAAAAACAACGCTGTTTTTAACACTGTTTAAACACTGACTAGGCAGATATATCCTACACGTTAGGGGGAGCTGTCATTAATTGGCCTGTTTCTTACAAGTTTGTGAAATTCCAGCGAACGCTAATGAGACCAGTCAAGCGTGTTACCAAAAATTTTACGATAGCTCTATCTATAAGACTTACAGCATCAAGGGAATTTTTCATTGAAGAAATAATTGAAAAAAATATTAAGGGACTTTTATCATTAGAAAAATTATTGAACCGTGACAAAAGACCTTTAAAAAGTTTCTGAAAATGAATCATCGTATGGAAATTATGTAATGTCTGACGGCCACACAAAGCACTTAATGGAAATATTGGGATACAACCTACGCTCACAGGCAATTATCGATTATTCTGTGGACATTAAATTAAGTTAAGCTGTACAATTGTGAAACGCAAAATGTTCTATATCAGTGGTTTCCAAACCAGTACTCAAGGCACGCCTACCAGTCCAGGATTTAGGAATTACCCAGTTATGTCAAGGTGGGTTTTTGTTCTTTATAAAAACACCTTAGACACAACTGGGTAATCCCTAAATCCTGTACTGTTGGACGGGTCTTGAGGACTAGTTTAGAAACCACTGTTCTCTATGTTTAGAAATATATACATGTGTTTATGAGTATACACAGTATTTGTGTTTGAGAGTACATATGTGTGTGTATATTTATATAAGACTTATTGGTTGATATAGGTTTAGACTGATGGTATAAACGTGTATTTATTATTGTGTCATGGTTAAGTAAAGCCTGCAACACTAAGAGTTTTCCAATCTTCTCAGCGATGTGATGGGTATGCTTATTTGCACATAATCACATAGTCGTATGGAGTGTGCTTAAATTGTATTTTTATTATGGACTGTAGAAGCATGGAAAGACTGTGGGAGGAGAGTAAAAAACATAGGGTTGATTATCGGAACTAATTTTGATTACAGGAACTAATTTTGATGGGGGAATAGCTGAGATTCACTGGAGAGGAATCTGCTAAGAATTTCTGGGAGTGCTAAAATATTGGGGTTCTGAGTAGGAAAGAGGGCGGCTAAGAAAAACTGGGGTTGCTAATGAGATATACAGAAGGAAGAAAGATTAATTGTTTTCAGTCAAGGAGGGATCAGGCAGTAGAAAGCACAGGGGCAGAACACCAGAGTATGCCAATGGTGTGCTGCCAATGCAGCAATACAGTGTCAGCTCCAAGGCCCACGATGACCAAGCAATAAAAAAAATGAAGTATTGACTCAAAACGCTGAATCCTCACTTGGTGTTCTGATGTTACAGCAACACGGTGTCAGCTCACCAGAAGCAGAACACTGCCAATGCAGCAATACGGTGTCAGCTCCTAAGCCTACGATGACCAAGCAATAAAAAAAAAATGAAGTATTGGCGCAACACCAAATTTCGCTCCAAAGCAAACCTTGACAAAGATCCAGGCAAGGTAGACAACAGAGTTGGGAAGTCCGATGTATAAATTTAAATCTTGGGAAATACGTTCCTTCACATGAAACAACTAAATATATAATAATATGTAAATACTCCAATAAATTGTCTACTATTATTCCCTAATTGTTTTTTCCTTTTTTTTTTTTTTTATCTATGAGAACGATTCCTGTGAATCTGGTAATTATATAGTTATTGTGGTGCCCTGTTATTGTTTATAGGCATTTTCTGTTCACATTGTTTTTTTATAATAAAATGTGTGTTTGTGCACTTCATTAATTTGTTAATTCATTTTAAATGGTAATGGGGAATAGAAATAGAAAGCAACTGGTTCCAAACAGCCAATCAGCTACTTATGCTAACGCTCATAGATTTTCAGCTTGTTTAAACAGAGCCTTCTCCACCTCTTGGCTCTGTTATATTGTGTATTTCGATTATTTGTTCCCCATTCTATAAATGTAAATGCTGCGGAATATGTTGACGCTATACAAATGCTAGCGATAATGTCTATGGAGTCTGTCTAAAACATATATTTGAAGATTCAGCACCTCTGATTTAGAGCGTGGGTGCAACCGTCCAAAGCTGCAACAACACAAAGTCTGCAAAGTTTTGACACATATAGTATCTTTGACAAGCCTTGACAAAGACACTGTGTGTGTCAAAACATTGCCGAGTCCACTTACATGGTGAAATAAATCTCCATTTGCAAATTATGTGGTGTAGCGACTATGCTTTCTTTATTCTTATGGAGTCTATCTAATCATGTGGGATCCAGTTTTACCACTGTAATAGCTCTTGTTGATGTTAGGTGACAGTCAGTAAATGTCTAACGTTCCTGTGAGGATTGTCCAATCGTGAAGAAAACAGAAGGTAGTTTGAAAAGATTTCATAATGTGCAACATGGGAATACATTGACAGACACATCTCCTCGTTATTTTTCCCAGTATTAGCAGGAGTTGCAGCAACACCTCTACAGTTTGTTTCATGGTGGGAATTATCGATAGCTCTCCAAATGGAGCAGTGGACAAAACTATTTAACCTCATACATCGAAGTTCAATTAGTGCGAAAATT